TGTCTTTCTTCCCACGCAACCCCTCCCCCCCTCTCTTAACACTCTTTGTGTCTACCTTCTTATTTCTCACTCCCCCTCTCTCTTGCTTTCTGTCTCCCTCTTGCACCTGCAGATGTCCCATACCGATCAGTCCCATAACTCCATGCAGCAGAGTTTGCATGCATCTCCCCACCCCGGCAGCCAATCGGGGCTGCCCTTACATCACAGTGGCCAATCAGGGCCACCTTTACATCACAGTGGGCAGTCAGGGCAGCCCTTGCATCACAGTGGCCAACCATCGCAGCCGCCTCGCCAGACGCAGCCTCAGCCCCACCCTCAGCAGCCCCAGCCCCACCCTCAGCAGCCCGGACCCAACTGTCACCCCCACAGCGATCTGAACTTTAACCCCTCCTCAGACGGGCAGGATATGCCTGAACCCTCTCTGGATGTAAGTGTGTCTGCTTCTGGCCACTGCTCTGTTGACACTAACATTGTCTGCTGCAGCTGCTCTCATCTCTTTGCTCTGTTTCTGTCTTTTTTACGCTTGTTTATGTGTACACTGGCTTCAACAGACATTTAATTAAAAGTCGTCCAATGTTAGATAGATAATATGTTTTCAGGGTTATATACCTTCACCGCTCATTGTCTCTTTCTACCTTTTAGCTGCTTCCAGAGCTGGCCAACCCAGAGGAGTTACTATCATACCTAGACCCTCCGGATCTTCCCTCCAACAGCAACGACGACCTTCTCTCCCTTTTCGAGAACAACTAGCCCTTCACCCCCGCTATTAACCCTTATGCACCTAAACAGGAGTCCTGAAGTGTTTGACTGTCCGTCCACAGACACCTCACCGACCTCCTATCGATACTTCAAGCAGCTTCCTATGCTCACGCACGCACATGCATACAGAGTTTATCGAAAGATAATGTGTGGCATAGGGGCACGGCTGAAAAGAGGCGCCTGATTGAGAACTCTAAGGGAGAAAACAGGAACGCCGCTCATCCCCGTACTCCCTATTTTCCTCGTGTAAAGATTCCACGCACCAGTTCCATCGCCTCTGACTCGAAACACACATTTTACAGCCATGTTGGCGGGCACTAAAGTGATATTATATATACATATATGATATTTGTGACTTTTCAACTGAAAACTGTGCAGCTATAATCATCATGTGTAAACAACACGGAGGAGACAGGAGCCTCTGTGAGCTCTAGGAAAAGTGTTGTAGCTTTTTGGTTTTTATTATCATTTTTCCTTTTTGTCTTGTAAGAGTGTTTTCATCCTTTTTGGAATGTGTTCTTCCAAAACGTTGGCACACGCCATGCCCTTCGCCCCCCCGAGATTTTCTCAGTGTGTGTGACAGTTAAAAAGCTGGATCTCATCAGAATCAGAGCACTGAAGGACGAGATTAGATGTCCTCGAGTGTCGACAGAGGAAACGAGCGCACATTGTGCAATGTAGTGTGTGTGTGTGAGTGTGTCAGTGTGTGTATTTACGTATGTGTGTGTGTATGTTTACGTGTTCTCTTTTGTTTGCATGCGAGCGTACATGAAAGACAGCGGGGAGAGAAAGTCCGAGACAGAGGAGGGAAGAAGAATATTGAACGGAGAAAATATAAAACAATCCACTTTATGAACTGTCTGGTACTTCTTCTCCAGCCGGTCTCCAGTCGTTCTTGTGTATTTATTGTAATGTTTCGCTCTTCCTCATCAAAGTCAGTACCATTTTGTTCACAAGTGCATGTGTGCCAATGGCTCCTGTTGTCTTTGTCCAGCCTAAACGTGCTTGATCAAATCATTTTTCTCTCTTGTCTTTATATTTATTATTTTATTTCAAATTCATCAGTTTTCTTTTTTATTGTCATCCTTTTTTTAAGTGTTTTATCTTTGTCCCACATTTGATCAATTAATCAGACACACATCACCAAAGTTGTCCTTTTTGTAAGGGGTTGGCCCTGGATATTTTTGTTGGTGCAAGAGAAGGATTTCAACATCTTACAGACGTCTACAGAAGTTTTTAAATCACTGTGTTTTATAGAAACGTCTGTGTGTTTGTTCTGATCTTCCCTTTTGTTGTTTTGTACTGTTGAATTGCATCTTTTTGGGGGGGGAAATCCTGCATGATCCAACAGTGTTTCCAGAGCTGTTGTATATACCCTTTGTGAATACTTTGTGACTGTACCTATCTATTACTGGCAACTACATGGTACTGTATGTCTGTCAAGGACTACACACGCTCACACACACACACAAACACACACAGAATACCTTCTAACCAGTCCAATATTGTAACAAATTGATCCAAATGCACTCTCACTGGCCTTGTAATGAGTACCTATGTATTGTTCTCCAATATCTTGTAACAATGCATCGGGAGAACGAATATTTGGTCAGCTTTAAATTACTTGTTTACTTTCAAAAAGATGCAGCTTAGAGGTCCAAATTTCTCCAAAAATGATTTTTTAAAATTTCGTTAGTGTGGCTTCGTCCTCTTTTATTTAAAGGTGAGAATGTGCAAAAATGTCCCCCGTATATATTTGAGGCCTGATAATGAGTTTTTGATAACGATACTGAAATTTGTGTATTTTCATCACATTTGATATTAAGTTATTATTTTTGTCCAGTGATTTTAAGTATGATTTGGTTTACACAGTTTTATGCAGTACATTTGAGTTATTTTAAATATGCTGTATGATGTTAGTTTTCCCATTAGAGATTTTTTATCTGATTGAAGAACCAAATATGGCTTTACTGATGTTCAAAAATGTATCAAATGGCCTGCATATAACACAGTTGAAGGATCAGATGTTGTATGTGTTTGTTTATATGTTTGTAAAAGACAATGCACTGCCGCATTGGGATGTTTTATTTCCCTACACAGTGTGTAACTGTAACTGCAACCTTTCACAAAATCACGTCTCGTCATTTGAGCGACACAAATTGTACTGTCTCAATGCGGACATTTGAAATTGAGTTGAGGATATAAAAGAGAATGCAATTAATATTGTAAAATGGAACTTGAGGGAGACCCCCTCCTATTTGCATTACAAGGTGAGGTTGTGGCAGAGGATTGGGGGTGGGGTTGGGGATGTAAGGGATACGTGTATATAATGTAAATGACAAATAGAGACACGTTAACAGAAATGTATTCATTTTCTCCAGGGGGAGTGTGCATAGTGTATTTAGAATTTGTAAAGCTTGCATCCTCCTGTCAGACATTGAATTGGAAAATGGAGTCTGTATTCGATTGTGTCTGTGCAGACCTCTCTAACCACGCCTGTTCATTTTATGGAAGATACTTTATGTACCCCTCCACGTGGGGTTTTCAAGAGAAAATACATTTTTCCTTTGTGTAATATTAAACTTCTGTGTATTTCTCTATTACCCGTGTACTTTATAAAGGTGCTACAAATTATTAAAACATTTTGAGGTATAATTGGGACATGGAGACATAGAGCTTTTAATTAAGCTTTTAAATTTGTTTCCAAATTTACACTTAAAATTAAAAAACATTGGCAAATTTATATATTTTTTGGCAATTTGGAAAAGTATACTTTGAAGGTACAATCTGAAGGGATTTGGCACAACAGGTGGCAGTTGTCTCTTTGGTTTTGTACATCCTCTGTACAATCATTTCATCTTCTAAACTGGTCGGAAAAAACATTGTGTTTTTTAGTCTTGCAAATCTGTATGTAGTTAGATGACGTGACATCCTAATATTTATCTAATAAATATGTATTCAGATGAAACACATTTAATGGCCTTTTGCGTCTTTTGACATACAAAGTGCAACCAGCATTAAACCATAACATAAAACACAAAAAAGATAAAAGGGACTATATCATTTGTGCTACACAATCAATAGAATACTGACCGTATTTTACTATATATATGAACATAGAATTTGGTAATACAGTATTTGAAATATCATTACACATATTGATAGTGGTTTTATTTACAGACTGGTAGCACATAACCAAAAATACTTCTTACTGATAGTTTGACACGTCACATTAGGAAAATCTCAGGGGTAAATAATCAAATTATTAGGCTGCTGGCATCGTTAATTGGTTATTATTTACAACTGTGATGTGTAAATAGTCGGCAGTGCAAAGATCTATTTAACAACTTTAATTGTTTCTTTATTCATAAGCTATTAGTTAAAAAGGGCATCAGCATACATTTTCCAGCAAGTAACAGTTTGAGGTTTAATAGGTATTTTGGCCATTTTGTTATTCATCCAATTAGCTTTAACTGCTCTATGCAGGAAGACTAGTAATCACTGCTCTTTTTTAGTCAAATGACTATTACTATTACATGTTACTTGTTAGACGCTTTTATCCAAAGCGACTTACATACTCAATACTGGACAATCCCCACAGGAGCAATTTGGGGTGAAGTTCAAGGTTCTTTATTGTCAATCTGACATAGCTACAGAGTAATTATGTAGTTGAAAATCTTATGTGTCTTGCCCAGGGACACAACGACATGCTGACAGTGGGGTTTGAACCTGTGACCCCCTGATCCCAACACCAAGGCTCTATCCACTGCACCACATGCCTCCTTGACTATCAAGTCAAGTATGCAAAATTAGATGACGTTCCTTTTCTGCACTTATTTAATCAAATGTAAATATGACTAGCAAAGATTAGCATGGTGAAATATGCAAATGTCATTCTCAATAGGGTTCATTATTATTGTAGAGTGATGTAGCATGTAGTACAATATTATCATTTTTTGTATCACCTATTTAATTCAACAAAACTTAAAAATAATGATTCTGGTTTAGTTGGTATCATGACACCACTAACTACACAATGTTGTTCATATCATAACTGACTCATAACATTTGTCAGACTCCTAAACAACACATGGACCTTGTATTCGTTTCTTACATTGACTGAATGTATATATCTTTTTTTTCAACCTAAATGAAGTTCTTTTACTTCCCGACCGTCCCACGAGGTGTCGCTGTTTGTCACCTCCGCGCGGGTTTTTACAGTCAATCCACGTGACGTCACATGTAAACACCAGCAGCACCCATGGCCTGCAGGTCCTCCTCACCCTGTCAGCTGAGCAACGATGTTACAAATAAAGAACCGCATGAGATACAGCACGCCGGGTGTCGCCGCCGTGAAGCTGTTCTCCTCCCGCCCCGCCAAAAACCCCTCCGTGTTTCTGGACATCGAGGCCGACAGTGAGCCTCTGGGAAGAATAACAATTGAGGTAGCTAGCTAGCATTAGCCTCTCGTATAACTGCGTACTAGGCTAGCATGTCCAACAGCACTTAAACACACACAGATAAGCTCAGTGTAAATATTAGTCCCTGATTTTGAATGGGATATCTTTTATCTTTTATCTTGCAGTTGAATGCAGCTGTAGTGCCAAAGACTGCAGGTATGTTTATTTAAATTTCATTTGCTTAATATTAAGAGTTGCATGTGTTTATTTTCCCCCTTGAATCAAAGAGTTCAACTCCAACTCCTTTAAAAATTAATGTATTGAATAAAACAACTGATGATTCCACAGCAAACTTCAGAGCACTGTGCACTGGGGAACCTGGCTTTGGATTCAAGGGATCTGTGTTTCACAGGATCATACCTGGGTTCATGTGTCAGGTAAGATTAAAAAGTGAAGATGGTGCACAATAAGTGTTGTTTGCCATGTCGTCTGAATCTGTGTTTTCTGTTACAGGGGGGAGATTTCACCGACTACAATGGCACAGGAGGGAAATCTATATATGGGAAGACTTTCAATGATGAAAACTTCAAATTAAAACACACAAGCCCAGGTACAACTCTATCTTTATTTAGAAGAACAAAACAAATATTCCTTCAACCATCCATATAGAGATTAATTCAAACTTCTCAGTGAATTTGATCAGTAACTCCAAGACAAAAACACTGCTAATTTGTTCATTTTCTGGATGGGAAATCTGTGTTTGGTAGGCTCTTGTATAATGAAGACACATTTTAAATTCCTTGAAAAGCAGGTGAACAGAAAGTTAATAAATTGTTTAGCACAAGACATTATTAACACAAAATGTATCAAGCAAAAAATGCCAAACATTGTCTGTCTCAAATAGCTCAAATTGGGGATTTTGAACATTGACATTTTTAGAAAACTATTAGATAAGTCAATATAATATAAACAAAATGATCCAACCAAGAATATTTACTGTTATCTTATATATCCATGCATATAATGACAAACATGTCCCTTCTCTGGCTTCTTAACAGTATCATTTCCCAGATCTTTATAATTGAAAATAGCTTCTGCTCCACTAGATGGCAGTGCCTAACTTTATGCCACAGTAAAAACCACTGGCTATATTCTGGAGATTTTGCAATCCAGAGGCGAATGACCTAGTTTTTAGTGAGTCAACATGCACCTAATTAAATAACTCGTGTTTTTAAATAAATATATTCCACATGCTGATGATTGTGGGCTTGAGTTGCATTGTCACGGTTTGCATTTCAGAGAAGAGAAACAGGCCTAACGCTGTTGGACACACACTCGTGTCGTGCTTCTGTTTACTCCTAAATGTTATTGACTCAGTGGTAAAATGAGGTCAAGATCTTGTTGACTGCATCACGTTTAATTGATTTACTTGTTGTCTTTTTGATCTCTGCAGGAACTCTTTCGATGGCAAATTCAGGGCCAAACACAAACGGCTCCCAGTTCTTCATCTGTACGGCTAAAACTGAATGGTAAATATTTAGGTGGACTTTTTAAACAGTCATCTCATCTTTGCCACTCTGTCCTGTCCCCACATCCAAACCCTTTACCGGTGGCTGAAGTTTCTTTTTGTCTCTTCTTTTGACAGGCTCGATGGTAAACACGTGGTCTTCGGGCAGGTGAGGGACGGTATGGACGTGGTCATCAAGATGGAATCCTTTGGTTTACACGACGGTGGGGTGCTTAAGAAAATTGTCATCACTGACTGTGGGGAGATTAAATAACACTCAAAATCACAAGTGGACTTCTGTTTGATGACTCGCCATGCAACAATTTGGTATTTACTTTATCTTTCGTCCGGGAGAAACTGTCACAGGTGATTTTGCTCTGCTTTAAAGGCCCTGAAACAGCCACTGAGAGCCCAATGTCGGGAATTTTCGCTGCTTTGTTTCATGTTTGTATCCTAACAACGGTTTGTATATCCCAGTCCTCGATTTTCCTTTTTCCACTTTTCATTTGACAAACACAGACTACCACCGTCAGCAGGTATGGATATATTTTTCCTATATGCAGAGTCAGACACAGCACTTACAGTATAGTTAGCCGTTAATTGTTTTTTTTTGCATTGTGTTCTTTTTGGCACAGATGCAAATCTTAAAATCTGATATTTCTCTGTTGATAATGATGTTCAAATATATTGCTTTTATATTGGGACTTGACCCATTTACTTTGTGTACAAGCGCTCAGTCGTCCACCATGTAAAATGTTCTTATTATGCAATTACTCTCCATTTACTGCCAAATAAAATGACTGTTTTCAGATTTTATTAGCTCTAGTATTAGTATAGGACATTTGCTCTCGTGCCATCGAGCCTTCTGGTTTTAGGGCTTCCTGGAAATGATCCAGCTGCTTTTTTTAGACACCGGCTCTCCAGCGCGACCGACTTCCTGTCCATCATAGCAGGATGTGACATCATGTGACATCCACTTACAGTTGAGTTGAAATATCACATGAATGCAGTTGACAGATGATAGAGCTGCAGGCTGTAGCCTCATTGGACACGGAGGAAGCAGATGATTTAATCTGCTGGAACTATTGAGGAACCTGAAAATGTCTTGTATGTGGGCTGCTCTTCCTTCCCTGCTGCTTTATTTGAAACACAGAGCGTCTGGAATAGAGAAAGAGCAAAGGAGGCCAGGACATGTCTGAAAGCCAGAGACTGGGTGGTGCTGCTTATCGAGCTAATACTTTATGAAAGTAAATAATGAAGCGACTTGAAAAAGCAGCTCTTGCCCCTAAATGAAACCATATGCGCACTGACCTTCCACCGTTTGTTTGAATTCTCAGATTACATTGTTGCTATAGAGACCTCTTAGCTCTCACTCTGTTTGAGCAAGAGATGTTGTAACAAACTTGATATAATTTGGGTCCCCACCCTCTGGTTTAGTTTTAGTTATTTGGAATGCATGTCCAATATTGTTCATGGAAACTTGGCTCCACAGACGGCGGTGCTGTGGCCAACATTTAGAACACATGCAACACAATGACATCTTTACAACTGCTACAAGTTGGGTCTTCTGCTGTAAAAGTCTCCACTTATCACACGGCACCCATGTTAGCGGGTGTCCTTTTTTGTGTTTGGGTTTTCCTGTCCACAATTGAACCCAAAGTGTTGAAATCAAGACCTGTCAGCTCGATGTGTCTGTTATCTTTCAGTACTTTCACAGAAAGTGAAAAACAAGTTTTACAAGGCTCCCCGCTTTTCTGCGTTACACAACCGCCATGAATATCCATTAAAAACCTTTTTATCATAATCCATACACTCAGTGTTGTGTAAGTCTACAAACTTGCACTCAAAGACGCTGTAGACTGATGATTAAAACGTATACTTTTAAATTAACATTATACAGACAGGAGCTTATAACAATTGCTTTGGGCTGAGATATCCAATGAACACATTCCAGTTACTTTTAATAACAATTCAGCATAGGACCCAAAAAAAATGAAACTACATAATCCTAATTCAATATGACTTTTATTCAACAAACGCTCAACAGCACTAAAATGTTTTCCCAACTAACAAATAAGGCACATTTTGGAATGCCATTTCATGGACATGAAAAACAGACCTGCGGTCTACTCTTGAAACCATGACCATGTCTTTGTTTCCCAAAAAATCATTTTCTTCCCTACCTCATGCCTGTGTTCTGTCCAATTCAAATATTGCAACAATGCAACACATACATCTCAAGTGATACAGACAGTAAAGAATACAAACATAACTTTCCTAATTGACCACATAAGTGTTAACACATTACATTCAGTAAATATGTATTATTCGTAGAGGCTACACTAGCGGTAAATACTTCAAGACTTATAACAATCAGAAGTTGCTGATAATGTTAAAAACAATATGTACTGTAGCAAACTACTGTAAAGTATTTAAATAAGTATACATTGCACAAAATGATATTTCATTCAAAACCAAACACATGCACATGCAAACTCTAAAATAGTTCTTTGTCACACATGCCTTTTAACAAAAGTATACAATCCCTAAGACTACTAATAACACCATAACATTTTATAATAGTTTCTTGTCATTGCTGCTTTAAGCTTGAACTACATCTCACAGTTTAACGTGCTTATACAGTGGTGAGTATCCATCACTAATTAAGAAAAGAAAAATTCTGCATGTTATCACAATATATATCTTCATAATATTGTTTACAAAATGAATACATGCGACTGTATGGATGTAAATGGCAGCTCATAATTAGTTACACATAACAACCAAATAACTGGGTTATTCACCACTGATAACATCATAAAACAAAACAAAATACAATGGCTTATAATTGAGAAAGGGTATTAATTATGTACCAGCTTTAGTTTAATAATACTCTATGTAGACATCAATATTTTCCTTCTTTAGTGTAACTTTGTTGCATATTCTATACAAAAAGTGTTGTAAAAAATCTTTCCATAAATATTTCTGCAGGATAACCCCTCAGATTATTGTAAAACATAAAGAAAAAACTCCCAGCTTAATTTATTTATTAGCAATAGGCCCTTCTTCACACAAAAAAAAGCTTCAATATTGCATAACATTTTAAAAGAGCTACTATTCTCGATAATGATGGCCATCAAATATATACATAAAACAATCTATCTTTGTCAGGGAAACAACTCTTCAGTCTTTGCAGATTGCTTTACAATTTTCAACATCTATTAAGTGTTCCAAAATACACATCTCATTCATAGAAAATAACAAATTTGAACTGGAAAGGTACTATAAAAGTCAAGTACACGAAATTCAAGAAATCATGTCTGAAAGCAGAGATTTTTTTTCATTTTTTTTTTCATATGTATTGTATGAACTGCTTCCATCGGCTCGTGATTTGCCATTCAAAATGGCCTTTATAACGTTTCTCTGGGCGGAATAGAACTCTAACTTTAGGATTGGTGAATCACATATATTGTTATTTGTTTATGAGGTTAGTTCATAAGGCATCATTGGTATCTATCCCTCTCACTACAGCCACATGGTATGATGTGGACAATAAGGTTCAGTAACGACCTGTTAGGCTAGTGTCATCACACGGAGCAAACGAAAGACGATGTTAACGGTAAGAATAATGGATTGTTCCCAACTAAAAGCAGAATCGTTCATTCATATTAGGTCTCAGCTTTGGGGTCGTATAGATGCACAAATTCTTTCTTTTAAGGGGGCACTCCAGCAATTGTACTCATTAAATTCTGTTTGCTCGTCAGGCAGGACTAATTGGACGGTGACATTTGTTGTGAAACGTCTTCTGTAGCTCTGGAGGAACTTTGTTGAGTCTGAGAGCTATTGCATCACTGTTTTCTCAGCTTGGATTTAGAGACACATTTGAAACAAATGGATTTTTAAAAGATGTGGGCATTTACATCGCAGAAATTGAAAGAAGCTGTCGAGCTGCATTATGGGAAAGGTAGGATTCAGTGTTTTGTAGCCTGAGTCACACTAGGTGTTAAAGATATGCATATCTATGCCTCTGCTGCATTGACCATTCTTAAGTGTCGTGCAACCCAACTTACCTAAACTATAAAGTCACTGGAATGCCCCTTTAACTTAAACTGTAGGCTACCGTTATCAGCCTCTGCAAACTCTCCCACTAAGGCAAGGGACCATGTATATTTTTTGACAAAACCGACAGTTCCTTGGATAAACATTGCCACAATAGATTAAAACAACAAAGAGCGAGGTCCACAGTTTCATGCACGACTCCATTCTGTTGTGAGTATCGACTAAGAAATAACATCTTTGTGGATATTCCATGACAACAGACCACAGTAGGATTTGTTATTGCCAGCTGGAAATGCTGTTTCAGCCCATGCCTGCAACTCAGCAAACTTTGTTGAAGCGAACACCCACCATGCAAGTTCAAACTAATAGAGAAACTGTACAATTCCCTTGTCCTTTTTAACTCCTTTTACCTGCCTTAAACGTAATATGCATCCCAGTTACCACATGCACGTGTACTGTTCCATCTCTGAGCCTATCCCAATTTGTCTTTCCTCATTTCAAATGGCATCCTATAGTCCTGATACTTCAGCATGATTTCAATCTTTTTTTAAGGCACATACAATATGTTACATTATAAAATATAGTCAACCAGTTTTTATAAGGCTAGGAATACAGTACGATATAGAAAAGTTCATAATTTCCTATAAAAAATGTCTTTTAAAGACACTGGTTTAAAATAGTAGGCACTTGTATTCATACAAAAATTGTAAACCTAATTCATCATCACTTTCAATATATCCTTGAATCTTCAACATCTCCACATCACAAATCAGCCCTCCTATTTTACTTCCTATTGTTTCTCTCAACTAATCTGAAAATCATCGCAGTTCTCCAAAACTTCACTTCCTTTTACACAGTCTTTACACTGCAATCAGCTGTTGGACATAGTTTGTAGGTGCAACATCTTCCATTTTGCTTTATTGACTCCACTAAGGTTTGCAGGCATTGGCTGTGAACTCTAAAGTCTATCTTAAACATTTTCAAACTAACATCTCAGTTGTTTTTGTCTAATTTGGCTTTAGTTAACCGTCAAAATAATGTTTCATAATGCTTTATTGTTAATACAACTAGTGTTCTTTTTCTTACAGCTCCTTCTAGTGATTTAAATGTAACTATCTAACATCTATACCTATCTAAAACTATAGATAGCTTAGAATTTGTGTCGCAACAAAAATATTCTGGGGAGGGTGAATGAAACCTTATCCGTTAGCAATGCACTAAATCTAGACAAAGAGCAACTGAACCTACAGTAGTTTCTAAAGACGCGTGGAAGCAGTTACACAATAAAGTGATATACAAACATACAAAAAACATTTAGTTATATCCCAGTTAAAATTCAAATTGCACACTAGACAATAAGGAAATAAATAGGCCAAATGTAAGCTAGGGATGTATGGCACATTGTCCCTCAGTTATTTCACAGTTAATAAGATGTGCTGTTGACCCTAACACGGCAAGTCAAAGGCCTCATACACTTTATACCATTGTGAGTGATAAATGTTCGTCACATTAACACACAGTTCACTTGGCAGGGGAATTGGAAGGCAGATCTCTGTAAACACAAATCCAACAAACCCCAAGGTGAGGTAATCTATTGAGACCAATACTGTCAGTGACACCGATGTAATGCATGCTAATTCATCAATATGCCATGTGCTGTTGTTAATCATTGAGTTGGATCAATGGGGTTGTGTTGTTTCTGATGCATGTGGCACAAGAAAATAAAAGCTTTTGATGAGGAGCACTTGGAGAGATTGATCCTAGGTTACCGTGTTCCTTTCATTCCTCGATGTGGTCTTCAATACTGTCATTGGAAAAAAAAAAAGGATTACAAATCTGTGATCCACCGGTGGTTGAGAAGAGGGACAGAAAAATAAAAACCTATATTTGAGACTTCTGAGAGGATGGGAAGATGTGAGGAGGAAGGGACGCCATGTTGTGTGCAGGGCAGGGATGTAGGAAACCTGGATGTGAAGGGAGGAAGTTAACAGCCTTGATGGAGGATGAGCAATAGGACTTGTTGCTCTGACTCTGAATAAAGATGATTATTGCACACGGCGGCAGTAGTAGCCCAGGACTTTACATTTTTCACACAGGTGTTGCGGGTGCTCCTTACTCTGGTCAGAAACATCCAGGCCATCCGGCTTCTCTAAAGGGCGCTGAGGATACAAACAGAGAAACAATAATGAGTCATAAAAACACAGAAGAAAGAAAAACAAGCAGCACACTCGTAAAAAACTCTGAGTTATGCAAGCAGTTTCTTTGGCAACAGATTCAAGTCAGCTATACGCCTAAAGTTTGGCCTCCAATATTACGCCCAAATTCTTCACAGACCAGACGTGTACTGAACACAATTAGTTGCAGAGATATGGCAACACACCATCAGCTCTGGAAACTTGCAGTACTTTCCCAACCTTATATTACAGAAAAAGATCCAGTATGTATTTGATCATGACCTTTATGGAAATATAAGCAAACAGCAATGGCTTTCCTGGAATCATTATCAAGGACGAAAGGAATTTGTATGAGCAGCACGATAGGAGGTTATTTTAACAATCTGTCTGGAAAAATGTATTTCTCCTCTTTTGTTCTGTTCTTGTTATTTATTCAGTGGTCTAACTAAAGGAAACCAGGTTACCATGGGTCACTACAGGGAGATATTTCAGTTATCCGCTAATGAGTCTGCCTGGAAATGTTGAGACTTTACCATTGGTTCTTGAGAAAAGTTGAAACATCAGATGAATGTTTATGGGGTTCCCTCAAAGAGCAAAGTAACTGAGTTCAAGCCCCTTTGCTGCAGGCATCTTCCCTCTTGAGATGTCCTTGAGCAAGAAACTCAAGCTCAATCAAATCAGCTCTGTAGCTAAAGCTAGAGTCTGAGCTCTTTCCATTTGGAGAAAGTGAAATCGGAGCTTAACCCTGCAGCGGTCAATAACAAGCTAACGGCTAACATGCTAGCAATCCAGGAACATCCAAGCGCACAGTCAAAATAGCTCACTGAGCTCATTTCTATTTTCACTGTTCTGTGATATATATCCCCCATGGCATTTAGTTTCAAGAATATACAACATTGTATGCAAGAAAGAGTAATACAAGAGGACAAAAAATCCACTTGGCTAGCAAGCTTACTTATTGTCATTTAAAGTGGACCTATCATGCTATATTTGAATAATATATTGTAGGGCCATACCTATATACAGGGATGCACATAACTGGTACGCAGGTACGCATGCGCGGCAACAATCTGAAATGCGTACCGTCACTTGTGTCACAAAGCGCATTTGCGTACCGACGTAAATGTGAAGCTTTTCCAGAAGGCGGTTAGTTCACCGGACGACAGAGTCGGTCTCCGTGTGCACAGACAGGGCTGCTGTTAACGTCGGTCTGTACAGCAGCCCTGCGCTAAAACAGCTGATCACAACGTTCACACGCTCCGCGGTCACGAAGCTCTATACTCTACTACCACCCCCCCCCCCCGTTGACAATCGCGAAGCGCTTAACTCCACTGACGCTACCCCCCCCCACCCCCCCCGTTGACAATCGCGAAGCGCTGTACTCCACTGACGCCACCCCCCCCCCGTTGACAATCGTCAGAAGTTGGAGTACCAAACACTGACTCCAGGTACTCATCTGAGTACCTCACTGAGAAAGTTGTGTGCACCCCTGCCAAACAGATCATGCATTTCAGCCATGCCTCATTTTGCTCTATTTGCTCTTTTCCAGCCCTGTTTTTGCAAGGGCTGATTCTGTGAGAAGTCTTCTTCGCTGCTTTTGTGGCAGACTACAGCGCCACTTACAGGCCTGGCATATGTACTACAGCGTCTCCAGCGCTTTCGAGCGGCAATGGCCGTGGCCCAACCCCCGATTCCCCTGATAGGTGGAGAGTTGCCCATATAGGCGGAGCACCCCTTTTCTGACGTCAGAAAAATTCAAATCTGTATCAGCTCCATTGCAGCCCCGTTTTTAGAGATTTGGGTATGGAGGAAAAGAGAGAGGGTTGTGTTTTCTGACACTTGGTGAGTTCCCTGACACACCGGGGACACATATTCATGTATAAAAGACGTACAAAAGTGCATTTTGCATGATAGGTCCCCTTTAAGTAATTTTACTGTCAGTTAGCATGTGTGTTAGCTTAATTGCTTAGGGTGCAATTGATTGAAAATTATAATTTTTCTTTTTTGTTGAAGTTTAAACTCTGATAGAAGACAGTTATAAAAAGATTGATCAAGTAACACAGTTTATAAATGAGGTTTTCTCAATTTTGAACGCCCCCTTCTCTCATACTGTCAGCAGTCACAACGTGCTAAATCAATGGCAAAGTTCAACAAAGTTGAACTCAGCAGACTATGTGCGCAGATTTATTAAACTCGACGGAATCCATTTACATTGCACAGCTTAATAGCTGGTGTGACCAGATGTAGTAAATCAGTGAGTATACCCATCATACCCAATGGAAATAAGGCCCTTGGTTGAAACCAAATTCACTGGGCGTCTGAGAAATATATTTCCCACCTAAGAGGGACAAATATTTAAATGTGTGCAGACGGAATTGGAAAATACATATTCAGGTTATTTATGGGAATCCGCAGGGAGGGAGGGAGCCGTTGAGAGGCTGAACTCTTTGATACTCGAGGACACAGAGGTTAGTGGTCCATTTCAAACGCTGACAGAGGGGAAATATGTTAAGTGGGTGACATTGCAAATGCAGGGAATTTGCTTGCCTGTGTGTAGCTTTGCCACAAGACACAGAGGCAGAAAAGAGTGAGTTTTTCTCACCAGTGAACTCTATGAGGGGGAGAATTTTTTTTTTTAATGCAGTCTTTCCCATGCTTTTAAGAAGTATAGTTAATATTAGTAGAGCATGCTCAGCCCTGGTATCCCAAGGACGAGCAGGGACTTAAATGATAATCCTAACTTTATTTCAGGAAGTGGAATTGAAAGAATGTAGAAAAGCATAAATATTAAAAGATGAATTGTTGAGGATAAATATATCTTGAGCTCAAGCTAAGAACAGAGTGGGTTCTTTCTCAGGCGATTCATCTCTTTAGTCAACAGGCTGTGAGAAAAATTTGAGGTTAAGCCGAACAGACAGCTTACCAGCACTTTAATTCCCTCAGAGCGGTTGCTGTTCTTAAAAACACTCCCCAGCATCTTGGTTGATGTGATTCCACTTTTTTGTAAGATTAAATACGAGAGGAATTTCTGCCGCTGTAAGGCTCAAATACCTCCAAGTTGGTTTGTGTCTGAGAGACATTAATAAAGAAATATTTGTTTTAAGATTGGATGTCATTCAGTAAATAATCTCAGACTTTTATCAGTTTGAAAATCCAATAGTTTATTCAGTGCTGGTTTATTACCAAAGAGGCAAAAGCAACTGTTAGTGGTATGGTTTTTATTTTATTTTAATAACGCCATCTGGAATATCCTCAAGACAAGAGGAAGCCACGCAAACCAGAGTCTGGACTCTGTTAACTTTGGTTGAAAGAAATTCAATCTCCCACTTGAACAAAATTTATGAGTAATGTGTTTTACTTTAAAGACAATACCGCAAATAGTCAGAGTGAAAGTTGTATGTAGGATGAGGTACCTGTTTGTGTGGATAGACGTTGATGTGGCATTTGATACATTCTTGTCCCATGTTGGCCCAGGAGTTGCCACTCATCCACTTCCTCTTACACTTAGGGCACTTGTATTCTCCAAAGCATCTCTTCTTCCCCTGGTAGGGTGTCAGTCCTTCCCCTTTGGGTCTGGCCTGTAAAGATTAAAGCAAGGAGGATAAAATGTATGCACATGTGTGGAAATAATTACTTTTAACATCTTGACCAGATAAATCCAACTTTAGGATGAAGAAAGTGATTTTTCTTCTTGCCAGAATGACATTTTTAAGAGAACCTCTTGGACAATAATGGATGTTGAGCTTTGACAGCAGGGTGTGTCCATCCTTGTCATGCTAATATAATCAACTTCATCGGAGAGCACACTCCTACACACAATTTTGGCACAATATGTGGTTGTGTAATTGACATTTACTTCAATACAGCTGTGTTAAATTACTCTTCTGATTCTCACGAGGTAGATGATTACCAACAGTCAGTCAGCCATAAAAAAAGCACAGGCCTGAGGGTAATATTGTTGGGAGGAGTCGCTCCGATGACTTCATGTTGGCAACTTTATTTAGGCCACTATATAGCATTCGGGGAAAAGACTAGTTTTTCCCCTTTTAAAGCATGCCACAAACAAACGTACTGCTGATGTCATCATAAGGATAAATCACAAACTGTCCTCCATCCTACCAAAATAAAACAACATGTTCAATGGTTATCATGTTTGTCAGGGCTTGTCATTATCAATTTAAAGCTCCATCATAAGAAAAAGAAGAGAAAAATCATCCTACAACTTGCATCTGACAGTCATTATCCATCTCGGAGTGGTTATTTTTGCTTATCACAATCGTATCATTCGGGAGATAAACATTTGAAATGGAGTAGTGTGGAATAGTGTTATTTTATCTTAAAATTCTTTCATGCACAAATGGAAATCTGATATGACAGAAAAAAGTGATCTTAATACACAGCATGAAACTGCTGGCAGCTTTCCAGAAGGTAAGGGAATTCTCTGCTTTGAAAGAAAACCGACCTGTCCACTCAACTCCAGGTTCTCCCGTAGGCCTGCAGATTGTTTCCATAATCACTTTAACATTGCTTGCAGATTTCGGGGTGGATGTAGGGGGCGGTGAGAGTGAGAGTGAGAGTGAGAGTGAGAGGGAGAGGAGGGGTACAATCTGTATCCCTGGTCTTCCCTTATTTTGTCCCAGCCCATGTGTGAGTAATAGGAACTTTAATCAGCAGCATCTGGCACTGTCCTTATAGACGTCAGCAGTTTGCATCAGCACCAGCAAGCCAACGCTAAGTATGAGCGGCTGTGCTTCAATCTGGCCCCTCAACAGCATGACCTCAACCCCACTGTCAGCTTCGCATCTCCCACTGTGACAGCACACTGGCTGGAAAATCTGACTTCTGCTGGCCTGCAGCACACAGTCTATACACACTGACAGGGTTGACTCAATGCAATCAACCAGCAATCTCAAAGAGAGTACCTTGGAAACATTTTTGTTTTTAATGCTCTCCTACCAAAAGATCTAGCCCAACTACATAAATCCTGCCACTGTTACTCTTGAAACCCCAAGTCAAAATACAGCGCTTTCTAGGTTTCTGCAGCAGTAACACTGACCACTATAATATCCAATACAATACATCAGACTAATGATTAGAATACCTTCTGCACTACAGAGGAGGTCTAACCTTTATCCTCATCATTCATTTGGAAATGTGGAGATAGTGAAAATTCTTGTTACAGCTGTTTGTTCGAAAGTGAAAAATCTTTCCCTGATACTGCAGCCAGGACTCAGCAGGACAGAAACAGCACTCATCCTCCTCATGACCATTCCTCTCAGGCTCCATGCTGCTTTTTCACAGTCTGGCCTCGGCCTTTGGCTGGGCAGCATGCTCTGTCTGCATCTGACTGCTTTCAGATTGGATACTACCCTGTTTGCAATCAATCTGAAGATGCTGCCGAAGTACACCCAGCAAATGGATAATCCATGGAGCCCACATAGAGAAGTAAATCCAATGTTGACAATTAGTCTGTGTCCAAAAGAGTTTATTAATAGGGTTTTTCAAATAAAAATACATTAATTATGGAAATTGTTTATGGATAGGTCAATCGTCACATTTGGTTTGGCCAACTGTAAGTAACTATTGTTTGGTCATTTGGAGTTCTAAGTATTATACTGCCATTGTGGTCAGTTGTTTTCAAACTATTGCAACACATTGCCTCTCATGGAGGTCTGAGATGACGAGCAAGTTTCTGTTCTGAAGTCATTAACTTTACAGACGCAGTTGGCTTTCGACATTCCAATGGACACCCAAACATGTGGGAATGTCACAATAACATCTGGACTGTTGTGCCACCACTGCCTTATGACGGAAGATTAGGTTTATTTGAATCACATATATACAAACATAATCTGTCTTTCTGTTTACACTGGTGCAGGAGATAACAAATCAAAACCCTTGGCAGTAAGCACTAGATTGACTGAGCAAATGTTTTAGTTAGGCTTGATTTCCAGGAAAATAACCACGCTTTGCTACCTTTTTAATGCAACATCTACAAACCATTCACAATTCACACGGTACAATGACTAAGCTAATGGAACTGCGTCATCACAACACCAAACACTCTGGAGATGAGCCAGCATGGGAGGATGTGTTTTGTTTTCCTTTGCGCTAAACAAATAAAGCCATTCAAGCTGGTGCCAGGGTAAGAGCTTAATGGACGTAACGGAGCCATTTAGAGCATTTTTGGTGTTTGTTAAGTGGAAGCAAAGCTTTGAAACAGCGAATAGGTCAATGGCGTCCGTGCCAGGAGATGGTGAGCAATGTTTGACATATCACTTTGACAGTGCCGGCTTGCATTGAGTCAATGTTTGTTTATGTCCCCTAGGCTAGAGCCCAGCATGTTGTGTAAGTGTCAGTGTGTGTGTCGAGGACAAGTGTCCACAGAGAAGACGGTGCAACTCCATAACCGCAACTAGTTGACCGCATCCTCCTTCGGTCCAGATCACAGCAGGGACTCATATCATGCACACAGGCACAAAAACTACGGGTCAGTGAACTGTTAAATTAAGCATATACACACATGTGATACAGACATTCACTGATGCAATCTCGACGCAAACCATGGCCACACACAATGCTTCTTTCTCCCCTTTTCCCTTCTAACACCCAAACTCAAATCCACACATGCACACACTCAACAAATTCTACATCCACAAGATTTCTTACACTCTTGAGACACAACTGGAAAGTCTCGCCGCACTGTTTCCTGCACTACTCCCACTCAGTTTAGCCCTGCTGCAAGGACACGGATCATTCTTTGGCTTATATCGCAAGAATAATGAGCTCACAAAATGCAATAAATAGATTAACAAGAGACAATAAAACAAAAAGGGAGACAAATGTGAGACACCAGAGAACAAGATGAACCGAAAAATGAGAAAGCTCATTAAGCGTTTGAAAATATGTACGTGTGCGTTGGATGGGAAACAGCCTCCTATTTTCCAGGATTGTGTTGTGAAAGGGGTTTTAAAACCTGCTTCAGACTGCAACATACACTCAAACAAAAGGAGAAAAGGAAAAAATTGGACAAATACCACAAGCCCCACAGTATCTCGAGCCAACTGTGGAGAGACCCTTCCAATCAGCCTCTCTCAAGAGGGTGGCGAACGGGGAAGGAGAAACTGAGAGAAATAGAGACAAGGAGGAGGAAATCTAAATCCAAAGCAGATGGCCTCCATAGGGGCAGAACACAAAAAAACACAGAGCCGTCGTGAAATCGCTGCTCTGCTTTCAATTAAGCCATACATTTCAGAGAGGGAGAGAGAAAGAGAGGTGGGGGATAACAAAAAAGTGTCAACTAACCACTGTAGCCCTGGCCACAACTCGGTGGATTGGACTCATTATGATGTGGAGGAATGTGCAGACGAATACCTTGTGATGAGATTTAAAGACACTTATGTTGTGCAAACAGAAAGATATTAGGAATGTGAAGTATGCACACTATTGCGTTTGGATTACTGAATTGGAAGAGGTGTCTTAAGTGGAGATCTCGGTCTAGACGTCACCCGCTGTGATGTCTTTACATTTGAGGGTAATATCGTGAGATTGATTACAAAGTATGCAGCCGAGGCATCTGACTTTTCAAATATCAATTTGCCACAAAAACATCTTGAGATTCTGCTCCAGTGTAAATCATAAAAAGATGTTTATTGCTGACCACTGGAAAAGTATGTAGTCCAGACCACTGTCTGAGGCCTAAAGGTGATCTTGCATTTGTGTTGGTCTCACATTCCGAGCTAAGAGTAATGAGCAGTGGACAGACACCAGACACAAACCTGAACCCTTAATCCTCTGTCTCCAGCAACAGGATGGATTAGACTTGGTTTAATATTAGACATCCCTTCAAGCCAAACCTAAGATTGTTCTACAAGACCACTTCTTTCAAGGTTGTTGATATAGGATTTCATACTTGCTCGACATATTAGAGCAGGCATGTACATACAGTTGATTTGGGCTCGAGACACTGTCCACAGTCAGTCTATAGACAACAAATACAAGGAGACAGCGCTAACACTACAATTTGGGTTTTTCATGCAAATGCTGCATGCCATTCAGCGGTTTGTCTGCCTCTATGAGAAAACAAGGGATTTGGTGGGTCAAACAACTTTGAGGCTTTGGTAAAGAGTTGGTAGTAATTGTATGCGACCGCTTTTGTGGTCTGGATTTGGAGAGCAGGGTCTTGTTAAAAAATGCAGCTCAGCTTCATATGAATAATGCAGATACTTGGATTTCTTTATATGAACCTAAACATTTGAAAAGAGAAATTAAGGGTTGGTTGGATTATAGAAGTAGAAACCAAAAGTGTTGAGTGCAACAAAGGAAACAATTGCATCCTTTATCAGTTAATTTACATCAACATAAACCTCAAACAAAGGAAAGCCTCATGTCTAAGCCAATGCTGAGAAGGCTCTTCCCTCCAGTGCATAGACTTGATGTTATTTATGACGAAGCTAGATTCTTCTGCATGATTTGATGTTCCCATCACAGCACTGCAGACTTGCATGATCACTTAAAGCCAGACAGGTCAATAAGTCACAGCATAAGCCTCCCATTCAACAAAGAGAAACACACTGTA